TGACTGAATACATTTAGAAAATTTGCGGGAATATATCACGCCCTCACAAAACATGTTCAAAGACTAAAACGTATTGAAAGAAAACGGTTCTAAGAAATGTATTCGGTGAAAAACGTTTTACAGCCTAAAGTTTTAAGAAGCCACCGATATATTATAACCAGCCATACAAAGGTTTTGTCATGCTTGTGGCCTGAAGCTTTTGCGGCACAAAGCCATGGTTCAACTCGTGGAGCGCTCTAGATGAATCCGCAAGCTTGATGCGTACAGAGCGTTTATTTCCCTTGAACTTGGTCTGTCTGTTCTTCTTCCCATAAGGGATCTCTGTTTCTGACAGTCAAGTAACTCAGTGCCCTTCTTCAGTGTTCATAATTTGTTCCTGTCTGATCCACGGAAACTCGATGCGTTCAAATGCTGCGCGATTTCATCAACCCTCGTTATTTTCAACACTGCTGACTTCAGAGTCTGACAGGCTGATTATTCTTGTGATTTGTGTGACTGCATAACACCCTTTCAGTACACTGCAATCTGATGACCAGTTTCCCCCAAAAAATCCCGCGGCATTGCTTTATTTTGTCAGCGCATTGGTGCCGCAGTACCTCAAAGTGGTTTAAGTTAGCCAAACAGTTTGAAATACACTAGGAGTCCAAACATTACGTTTAGTATGGACAGGTTCGCGGGAGCTCGATTCAGCCATGAATTTAATTCCACAGCCTTTTTGCTGGGATTAAAAATGGCTTATGTTGACCTGCAAGTCAGACAATTGTGTCCCTGCTGTTCTGTCACTATGGGTCCAGACGAAGGGGGCAGTTAGCATCTGGTGAATACTGGAAATTAAGCCACATATGAACCCAGAGTGCCATGAATCCAGGATAGGCAATAAGCTGGTGTGGAGACAATAAATTTGGGTCATAATGCTGGGTAAGTGAGGAGGTAACAGCCTCGGACCAACGTTCAAGGTCTGTGAAACACTAGGTTAAGAAAATAGTGATGACATCTCCGTAAAGAAATGAGGTAAACAGATCGTAGCCAGTATGGTGTCTCTGTCGAATTTCTTTTATTCGGTGCTACTTGCATGTCGCGTTTTTTGCCTGGTTTGTGCAGCTAACCACTAGTTTTCTACCGGTAACGAACTAACCTTTACCTTGCTCACCCAGGCTATTAATGGTATTCTTATCCTTACCAATAACGGTCTCCACTGCCAACTGCTTCCGCTCATCCATCACGGTCGTAGACTCGGAGAGAACGCTGCAGATGTTTCGAAATACTCTCTGGGTCAGTCTTATCCCGTTTAGATGTTTGAGCGAAGAAACAGCTATAAGCTAAGCAGGTTATTATCATTACACCCAAAGGGGCTATTCACTGTTGAGGTATGCAACTGTTTCCTAATGACTGAAAGCTACTTTCGTTCTGGATGCCCATCCCTCGGGTCCACATGCAGCGATTCCTTACGGATGTCCACAGTGCTCATGTATTAGTTCCATGAATGCACTATCAGCACCCGAAGCCCTCATTGCTGAAGTGACTTTAGGTGGGTTTAAATCTCCCATCACTAGTGCATGAATGAAAGCATTTGTAAGTTCAAACTAAGTGCCTGGAAAAGACGGTCGGTCCACCTTTTTAGAGTACCCTACGGGCTTTAGATAACTTCTGCCCAACAGTTGCTTTATTCGTTTTTTCACTACGCAGCAGCTTTTTGCTTGTGTTCTCGATATCAGTCGGCATTTCAAAAACTTTGAAATTTGTGCCTTTACACGGTACGTTGCTGCCTCCTGAATCTCCATATCTATTCCTGTGGCATAAATCATGATCAATCTGGGAGGTATCACCATCTCTGAAGTCTCTGGTGTGCTATGCTTCATATAAGACAGCAATGTGAGGATCCTGACCAGTAATTATACTATGCAATTCTGGCTGCTCACAGCGTGGCACGCCCACATCCTTGAATAGACGCGAAGTTACTACTTAGTATGACAGGTGGGTCGTATGTTACTTGCGGTCCTTCAGCTGGCTGTTGTTCCTTTTTTATGCACGAGCCCTAACCCTCTTGATAGACCATTATATTATTCGTTGGTGCTAGTGTCACTACTTAGGAATCATGAATGGTTGTGCAGCCACAATTTTCTTCCACACAGGAAGAGCTCAGTTCAAATGATGCCTATTCCACCGTTATTAGCCGCTTTTAATTACCACTTTAGGCGCCTTATCCTTTTATACAGTTGACAGCAAAGTCTGTTTCCCATGGGCCATACTTTACGCTTCAAACGTAACTGGTTAACGGGTGTCAGACAGCTTAAACAAGGGAAGATGCAGATGGAAATAATGAGGAATGTATTCGAAAAGCAGTTCACTCCAAACGTCGCAGGCAGGGAAGCGTTATTCAGACATGGTACAAACAAGTAGACAGACATGTACTTATGATGTCAACGTCAAATGAAGAAATGTAAGAGGCATGAAATTCCAACACTAGTCCCTTCCTAGAACAACGATATGAGAGAGGTTGTCAGTGTTTGAAATGAGATACCGAAAAAAAGCCTACAAACGATACGTTTAACACATGTAAGATATCATGACTAAGTACTTGACAGCATGGACTACTGTGAAAATGATCAGGTTCCTATTGACGGTTATATATGGACAACTGTTGAAAGAAACAAAAGCAATGGAAAAAATAGCGCAAAACAGTGGTGAAAACGAGGGCCACTGGATCTGAGCGCGAACAAATAAGCCTGCTCCGGAAAATATATATCGTTATTGCAATTCAGAAGGGGTTGTTCGCGGAAAAGAAAGTGAGTTTGTGTAATAGATGTAACATACAACACGTGAAAAAATACCAACGGAAGTATTTGGGTTCTTCGTGAAAATATTGACAAACCGAAGGGACTTCAAATGTTTCTCCTGGGGTCAGTGTTTACATATGGAAATATATAGCTATATGTGTATACATATATGCACATATGCTGTGTTGATGCGGAGTAGGTTCGTCAATGTTTCTACAGAAAATGCAACGATGCACCTATTATGATTACGGGTAGGATAAGTAGGTGAAAGAAACACGCATAATGCGGTGGATTAAGAGAATATTATTGTTTCGACATAACGTGTAGGTCGATGAATTCCTGGAACACACCATGTCCTTTCACCGTCATGCTTTCAAAACACTATTTGTTTCGCTGGTTCGGCTGTGGTGATGCTCTCCTCAGATGAAACTGAGATCAGGCATCCACCAGGTTCATCCACTACATGTGTTGGCACAGACGGGGACATCAAAGCCAAGATGGGAAAGACAGCAAGACGGGCCTTCATTGACCTGAAATCAGCGTGGAGATCTACTGCACTCAGTATTAGGCGTGAACAAGACCAGGATTTTCAGCACCAATGTCAGCCAAGTTACTGCTTCCACATGGTTCAGAAACTTGGAGCGTCACGTAAAGCATTTCCAACAAACTACAGACCTTCATCAACGTCTGCCACCTGCACTAGATACTGAAGGCCAGGTGGCCAGAAAGAGTAAGCAACAAGGAATTCTAACTGGCTGGCAACGAACCGACCAAGAACCCATCGCCCAACAAATATGTAGACGAAAGGGGAGACGGATTGGGCATACACTGAGAAGATCATTCGGCGACATCACGCACCAGGTCAGGCCCTCGAGTGGAAGCCGAAATGGGAAACGATGAGTTGGGGGTCCGAGTCGAGGGTGACATGGAGGAGACCGTGCGTGGAGGAAGTGAAAGCTCGTGGGTGGTAGTGGAGCCCCGGTAAAAAGAAGGAAGAGAAGAGTGAAATGGAGACGCCCTACTGAAGCCCTGTGTTCCACTAGGGACCCAAGGGACAAATAATAATAATAACCCACCAGGGATGTTGGCCTTATTCTATTTACTCCAACATGTTTTAGTTTCCTGAAATTCGCTGTGATGAAAGCCTTATCTGTTCTGCTGATCGGTCTAAACGGGCCGTTATTGAGTGATTGGATTGGCTGCCGAGCGTCGTGGAGTTTGATGGATACATGAGCACACTCAGGAAGTTCTTCAGAATAAAAGCCCCGAATTACTGATGTATTTGAGGTGTGGGGTTTCAGGTCATTCATGTATCTCCAAGCTGCCACAGATAGTCATTTCGTTTAGTGAGGCTTCGTCAGAGTATTGCCCAGGCAAGTGCTACGTGATCCCATACACTAACTCTACTGCTCAGCAGCCTATTATTTGTTTCTTTATCCATGAAAAACGTATGCACTGTGGAGAGAGCCTATTTATTAAGAATATGTTTTTAATGTACGTTTACACACGTGTGCCCGCTGGTGATATGCCTCACAGCCCCCAGATTTTAGCGAGCCATGGGTCACTGTGTGGCAGGCCACAAGACAACTTCTCTTCGTTGCCATTAAAGCAGCGCTCCATGTTTGATGCATAGTTCCTATCAAAAAGACTAGTGAAAATATAAAATCTAGTTTATGAAACAGCTAAGTATGTGGAGTCCCGGTTGTCATATCGTATCATATTTAAGTGATTACGGTAAACCACAGTGGCTTTCAACACGATAAAGCTTTCATACGTGCTCAGAAGTTTTCAGAATAGTCAACATAGTAAAGTCAGTTCAGGTGTTAGGTGAATTAGATTATCATTGTCCTCTTTACTAATTACAGTCCCATCATATCTCGCCTCTCAAGACAAGTAGCAAGACATTTTCTAATGAAAAGTGAAGGAGTAAGCAACGCTTCTGGGCATCTCAACTGCCATCAACCAAAAGCGCGTTGAACATTGTCCCTTGAATTTTTAGAATTTGTTTGTTTTTAAGCGCAAAGCTTTCGTTCACCATTGTTGTCAGGGCGGCTTTTGATGTATGTAGCATGTTGATTTCTTTGCCTCTATATAGACTTCCAGTTATAATTTGCAGTTGCGGCGTATTAATAATACTTGGTATCTTATGTACTTTCAGCGGTCCTTCTATAAACGTGCGTTCCTAAACCAGCTGGTTCCAGAAGCCAATGCTGGCACTACAGAATGAGCTCAAAAGTCAAGTCTGAAAAGACGAAAGTGAAGTTCGCCCAGTCAAATATTAATCATGTATACAAAGGAAATACTACGGAAACTCACCACAAACCAAGTAAGCCAAGTTTTGTGTCTCACAAGTGCAACTCAACGTCAGTCTGCCTTGATTACTTTTTCATACGACTGGACTAGTCAGGATAAGGCAGTTAACCATATTCTGACTCATATTTTGGAAGTTTGGGTTGAACCGTCATTCTAGACTAGTTAGCTAGCATCCGTCTGCAGTTTTTTGTTCTTATTCTTTCTGTCAAGCACGGTTTCATTGTTGCTTTTTTGTTTGGGCCCAATCAGCTGCACCCAACCACCTTTCTTTGTTGACCGGTGAGCCAATGCAGACCATTCCTTGACTAGCAACTCTAGCTTGGGTCTTGAGAAACGTATCCTAAGCGTTCTCAAATCGTCACTAAAGGCGTTGAGTAAACTCCGCATCTTGTCAGCCTAGACTAACAAGACTATCATCTGCGTACTCTAGGAACGAGTGTCTTGTGTTGAGATAACGAGAGAGACTTTCATAGGTACATATGGTAAAATTGAATAATAGTGAAGTGGTCTGGTCCCGTTGACGGACTTAACATACAGGTCACCTGACAGCTCGCCATAGGCTCTAACGCGCCCAGGGGTGTCCAAAAACAACATTCAACAGAATGAAATGCTCTCAATGTTCCACTCAGGATAAAACTGGTTGGGAACATGATAGTAGCTGGAGGCCGACTCAGTTTCCTCTCGAAGTGTTCCACCTTTCGTTCCTGCTGTCTACCCTGTGTGTGAATCGCAGACCACCCACCCATCTCCGCTATCCCATTCTCTTCGTTAAGTTCAAATAACTCTATTGTTGCCTATTGCCGCTGCTTTTTCTATCTTTAAAGCTTTCGTTGCCTTCCGACTTTCATGGACGCTGCATAGGTTTATTTGTTAGACCTGAGTTCCCTCCGCCCCTCATTGTGCTCGGGTCCTGCGGGACTGCCCTAACGTGCATCCGTTGATTAGAAGCTGCTAAGATCGACTGACCCTTCTTAACCGCTTTGAAAACCACCCACTATCATTAACACTTTTTACGCAGCAGACGAAATTACACCCAGCTCCTTCTGGGAGATATCGCTCAGCATTCTCATTAACGAGCTGCGCTTACTATAGTCTTGTAGCTATGAATTACCTATGCCCATTTCCGCCCAAGCTCGTCCTCGGAACGCCATTCGACCAACAGCTGCTACCTTGATACGGTGGCCCAGCTTATATATCACGACCCAACGAGCTATACTAGTGAGAGACTTGTTCCCCAGAGGTCCTATACCAGAAAGGTTTGGGTAATGATTAGAAAAAAGGCAGTTACCACCATTGTATAAGTTGCTACGCTCCGATGGGGATCTTAGGGCGAAGTCGCATTGCTGGTTAAGCGGGATTGACAGCAGCAGTCTTTCCCGCAGACGACCAGCAGTGCAACGTAGGGGTCAAAGAGGGGAGGTCTAGAAAAGGTCGACCACTCAGATGACGTACCCTGCAGCATATCGTTGCCTGCATCAAAAATTCGTAGTCGGAGGCAATAAATAGGAGCCTCAAATTTGCGAAAGACCTCATGCAGGTGACCGTTTGACTCTGCAGTCCCTTCTCTCAGGTATCTCAAGAAGAAACAGCCTTCCACGGTGTGGGCAGCCGGGAAGTGTCAACCGCTCACACGCTCCTAGTAGTACACAAGACCCAACCAAACAATATCCTCACTTCTCTCTCCTGGTATTAATATAAGGGCCCTTGCGCCTTATTCTACCTCTCACTCTGCAACCATTGTCAACGATCAGTACGATCGAAACCTTGTTCGTAGTCTCCTAAGAACCCATCATCGATTTCATTTTAGGGTTTCCAACGTCCAAAACCAATGTTAAATCGAACAGCAAGCATCACTCGCCAAAACTCTAGAATCTCTAGCCATGGATATATGCTATCTCCCAGATATGTGTACAGGACCCGAGTATGGTTATTAAAGTGACTTGGTGGTAGTGGTTAGTCTTCAGAACTCATCTTCCGAGTATGCGGAGACCCAATGGCTAGCTCTCGCAAACTCGCTGGTGTAGGCTTAGTATTGAGTTGTAAAGCAGAGTATGATTCTTAACCAGATACAAGTAAACAGGTGTGCTGTTCAAGTGAATGGATCTGTAAGGACTAGGAACGATTGTGAGACTAGGCGGTGCCTATTCGTAATCTGCTCCTATGCACCCACCGATTGTGGCTAGGATGCTGTAAAGGATGAATTCTGTGAAAAACTCAAATTCGATACAGAAAGCAAAACATTCAAATGTAATCATACTTGCAGGTGACTTAAATGATCAAGTGGGAAACTGAGCCAAGCCGAGAGGCATCTTGGGGATATTTACGGAATCCCATGCCAACGTACTGATCGTCTGCTGTAATTTTGTCACGACGATCACTTGTTTCGGACCAGCACTTACCTTACCGCCGACTTCAACGATGGACACAGATCACATTACTATGAACTGACCATCGTTGAAAAGGATCAGTGGGGAATTGCCGATCTTTCTGGAGTACTGTTTTGGACTCCGAACACCCGTGAGTATGTATCTGTGTGTCCGCCTTCATGGTCTCAAAAAAACAGGCGATAGTGAGGCCTTTCTATGGTCAGCTAAAAGACGAGAATGCCAAATACGCATTTAAAGGGGCGTTAGCTAGTCATTTGTCTGAATGTGAAGGCAATGCTCATCCCGAGGAAACCTGGCGTGGCATGATATTAGGTCCGCTGTAGAAATAATGGGAAATACAATTGGTAACCTACATATGGAGGTTAGCCGTCACTGGAACTCATTGATGCGAATTCACCATACTGTCCGGGTGAGGCTAAGTCGAAAATCACACTTGAGTCCTGAATGCTCGTCCAAGGAACCCAACACACGACCCGGTATGCTGGGGTTTTGGATAGCGAGTCTTGTTCATCGATTCGATGGAGGGTGCGGACATTAAACACTTCAGTGTGTGGTTATGTTGGTTTCAGGATACCAAGGGTACGGTTCCGCGACAACAGCCACAGCGCCGAAAGAAATCAACAATTACTTGAGGTTATTAACATGCGAATAAAGACAATGGCATAGGATCGAAATGCACTCAGCAACATTGTTCGCGTTCGTGCGGTGGGTAATAAGTCACCTATTGTGTGAGGGCTAGTGTTATTACTACTTAGCTGTTCAAACTTCGATAGGTGGGGCGGTGTTCAAGCCCGTGACAATATATATATATATATATATATATATATATATATATATATATGTATATATATATATATATGTATATATATATATATATATATATATATATATATATATATATGCTTATATTAAAGGTATCATTAGTTTTCTGTACTGAGTGGTGTCCGTCGAGGATATGCAGAACGTTCTTACTTAGTTTTGTCATAAACGTGCTTATAAAGCTTCCCCTCTCTTCGTCTGACCACAGGAATTAAACTTATCACAGGAAACCTTTTTTGAGATCCAGAGTGTTTACTGACTGCCTTTTCAGAATTGCTTGCGAATGGTGCACTCACTATTTGAGCACTCACAGTTATGCATGGTAAGAGGCTAATCATTTGATGAGGTTGCGAATCTTCACCGACTAAAGCGGTTTCAACGTATGTTGCACTTGCCCAGTCACTGCCTCCCTCGATGTACAATGCTAGCCGAGGTGAAATTGGGCTGGGAAAAAGCTTAGGGTAATCAGATCAAGGGGTGAAGTAGCTAACTCGATCGGCGTCATGTAGGGTACCGATTGCATGACTGGGGTCCTCGAGTGTGTAGGAAACGATAGCTGGAAACAACGACGATATGGCTAGAAATCGGTCGCATTGGCGTAGACGAATTTATTGTTTAACATCTAAGTTCTAAACGTTTTCACTAATCTTTTATTTCCAGATCTTGTCTTATACATTTATTTCAACTGTGATATCGCTTTTTCTATCCACTTTTTTCATATGTTGTAAATTGTGGTAGATAACACCGATACACTTCTGTGCTAGGTTCCACATTCATTTTGTCTGCCTGCATAGAGTACTCAGGTATCAATTCTTGTAGGTATGTTGACTAAGTGCGATCTACATACCTTGAGTCGCAGTTCGAAAATACGTGGAATGGATTTCTATCCACCCACATTCAGATTATTGCTGAAGGACGGGTTTTTCTCGGCACCCTGTAGAAAATTAGTGAGCGTATTAATTAAACATGTTGGCCCTCTCTTACAAGCCGGATAGGAAAGAAAAAGTCAATAGGTGATGAAATCTTGGCATTTATTCAAAAGACTCATTTGGCTTTTATCAACTGACTTGTAATACAAGTGAAATATTCAGTTGCTTACTAGGGGTTGGGTACACTGCACTGCTAAACGAGCGTACAACATGGCTTTTAAAAGCAGAGTACATAGGAAGGCTAAAGCTGTTTAACTCCCGTTTCCTTCGCTGTGTTGATTACGCGTTGTAAAACAACCATATTTGAAATGTAGGCGTTAGGTATAAACTCGCAAGTAAAAAGAACATGTCAGTTGGTAAGGTTGTAAACCTTTAACAATTGAGGTGGTTGGGAAGCGTTACACAAACCACCCCATCGACGTCATGTGCTTTGACCTGAAGTAGGGTTACACGTGATGACACCAAGGAATGGCATAAATTCATGCCTTTTAAACCTCGGAGGATGTAGACTTCTGAATTTGTCTCCACAATACAACCAAAAGCGGTTATGAACAGCTCTCGATGAAATGACTCAGAACAGATCGTACATCCACGCCTTAATTTCATTGCTTTGTATCTTAGTGTGCTTATAGTAGATTTGGCAACTTTGACCTTAGTGCTACTGAATGGTTAACAGTATAGTTCTCGAGTACCACTATTTTCTTGACAGGAATGTAACATGGAAATCGGCTGCGGTCACATCTGGAAGAAATGAAGTTATTTACCTGCACATGTTCAGTGCTTTTCATCCTCTGATTTTAGTGTGATTAATGCTGCGTGACAGTTTAATAACAACAGGGACTTTAGACTGAATATATAGAAGCATGTACTTGAAGGGATGTATGAATATTATTGTCTAATTTGTAAGCGAGCCTTTTCCGTCTCTTATGATAAAAACAAGTGGCTGAACCTATGCCTTTAAATCTAGTCACTGTCGAATAGGACTTCTCAACACCTAATATTTTTTGTGCCCTTACTGGAGTCGTAAAATTTTCTTTATACGTGTGAACCTAGTTTGGCTTCATTTGTATATCCTGCCTTGGAATTACTTGCTGGCAGAAATTCTTAGCGGAAAATACGTTCAATTGCGTGAGTTTACGTATATTTTTATGTTCACTAACCTACTGAAGATCTAGTTAGTTACGTGACCTCTAAGAATCACTTTCGATTTTATTAATTTCCTTTTACCTTTTGTTAAGCTGTGCGGCAATATGGAATGCAAGTTGTGGGAAAATTGCAAGGAACGCGTCGACTACCCCCACCGGCATGGGTGCCTAGTATCAAGGCTGAAACAGGTGGGTTGGACAGTCGAGTTTCTCTTGTTCCCGCGGGTGGGGGTGGGTGGGGGGCACCACCAACCTCAACGTGTAATACAGAGCAACCGACTGTACCATCTCCAGAATCAGACAATGTCGCGACTGTACCTAAATTACCCTCCGTGAACGGTGCGTTGTACAGTGAAACAGTTGGAATTTCTCTTGAACCAGCTTATGCAAAGACTGCTTACGGTAACTCAGGACCGTCGATCACTGGTCCATCAATTACGAAGGGTAAGTAATCTAGCTACTGTATGTATTTGATACTAGTTTAATAAGATAACCATCGAACAAAAATGTGTCTTTTCAGAGCTTGTGCTTGTGCCGTACCTACCATCCACCAAAAGATAATTGGTGTATGACTTGTAATCTCACTAGCGTCAACAATCAGGAAGTTGAGAGATGGTAAACATGGCAGTTCCATCAAATCCTAAAACTGTGGGGCTGTTGGTGCATTTAAATTGGTAGTAGAAATCTACTTTTTTGTATGCCAAAATGCAACGTAGCAACCATCTAATACGTTTGCTGTAACTTGAGTCGCACCTTTCTATGAATAAATACCACCCTCTGGTCGTTGACTTGGTTTGGTGGGCAAAAGTTACGCGTGTTAGCCATGCATAATTTTCCTCTGGCGTAACATTGAATGTAACGATTAGCGTACTGCTTTCCTGGTTTAGTGCACCTAAAACTAGATGATATCTGAGATGGCAAACTTTAAAAACAACCTCTTTCAAAATAAGGATCCTACAGAAGTAATCAGTAATCTCAGGTCTGGGGTATATGTAAGTGTGAAAATTGTGAGGCAGGAGATCTTGTCGAGAAACAGCTCATACGTTCATTTCTTTTAGTGGTGTAAGTAGTTACAATTCGCATCTAAACCAAAGTTGACGTGCTCTTTGTTTGGATGGTAAACTAGGAAAACGTATTTTGTCGATTTGATTGGAAAGTATTATTAGATAACCTTATTTTGTGATAAGAAGTCTCTAAAAGTTTAGGGGTACAAAATCTCATTCTTTTCCTTTTTACCGTTATACATGTCTATGGTATTGTAGTCATGCGTACCAATTATACTACAGTTCACTGCTGAATGGCTTATCAATTATCTGACTGAGTTGATGTAGGAAAATAGTTTGTGCGTAGAAATTTATGGAAATTGAGTTTTGTTCCTATTCTATAGTGGTTTCCTGTTTCTAATTTTTGGTAGCGAGTTTGATAACGTTTTGTTCCAAATGCTTTTCGTAGCAGATACATCTGTCGGTGTAAACGGTCCTGTTAAGACGAGTGATACTCATCAATCAGTCGATGAAGTTCAACCGAAAGATAAAGTGCCCAATCAATTGCTGAAGTCTCTTAATGATAAGCCGAGCTCTGGTGGAGGATTGGCAGCTAACAAGCCGTTCTTCCAAAGACCTGTTCCGGTAAGTTTCAGTTGAAATAACGAATAATCTTTTTCAATGCAGAAATTTGGTTGCATGTCACCGGTATTCACTGATACGGACAAGTACTAAGTGTATTTTAGTGCAAAGTTCTTGTCCCTGCTCTGTAGTAAAACCGTTTAAGCTATAACCACGGAAGCACACTACAACACATTTAAATGACTTCCAATCTGAGTTATGTAATTTTTAGTTCTGAATTTGCGAATCATTCTCTTGGACACGACTGGGTTCTTAGCCCCACTTAATGACACCTGTGTCGGATCACACTTTATGACTTTGTGTAGGTGGTTCCCAACAAAAAATATGTTGACCTCTCAGTTAGGCATTTACAAAACTATTCAGCTATGAGGAAAGTCAACGTAGGCTGCACAATGTGCATATAACTTCCAGTCTAATCATACCTTTTTGTTGCTGTTAATTCTTTTGTCATCTGTTCTATTTATGATAAATTTTAATCCACGCAATTTTTCACTGTCAAATCTCACCCCCTCTAACACATTTACGCAACTGCTTGACTCCGTACAAAATAAAATTATTTCGACGTGCTCCATCCATTGTCCTTATTTTAAATAACTCAATCCCAGTATTACATGATATATATGTCCAAGTATTTGTATTAACTAGCAAAGTCCTGCTGAAATTTCATAAATCCATTGAATCTCTTCAAAAGAGTTTTTGTTACGTTTAAGTGCATTTAAGTTCAGCTCCTGACAAAAGTTAGATTATTACAAATCTGTATGGGGTAGAATGTACAGAAAGCTTAAAAATTATTGATAGTCGCTTAAGTCGAGACCAGCTACATTTTCACTCGTGTTAAGGAACTTTTATGCTGCTACTGCACCTTATACTGTTTGTACATGCAAAAGATTTGTTAACATACTCATCCAGATGGGTTGTAGGTTTTTTGTAGTGCAGTCCTCCCTCGTAATCTGTACACACATGTCCTGCATCATGTACTACCGCAGATCCAGACTAGATCCAAAAGATGTCCACTGTATAATCTTATCCTATTAATAAATTAAGGCTTATTTTCCTAAGTTCACGGTATAATTTAAATGATTCTAGATTGTAACCACCTCCTGTACTGCAACTACTATATCTACTAAATCTGAAAGTCCGAGCAAACCTGGTAGTGGTGCTCGCGAAATAGTTGGAGAACCCAGTGGTTGGGTTGCTATTGGTCAAGATGAACCTGACTTCGATGAACGTATTATCTTTAGTGATGATGAAGATTGTGATGAAGTAAAACCAGCAAGGTCAGTCACATCAGCACATTTGACAGAACATCCTGCACAATTTTCAATGTCTCCCCCTCCAACTGCCGTCAAAAGTAATCTGCATCCTATACCCATGAAGCCTTTCGTTAACCCAGTGACCAGCCTTTCAGCTGATTGTGCCGTCCAGTCACATTCAACTTTGCCTCAAAAAGTATATATGGAAGACTCCAGTATGATAACATCAGATCCTTGGTCTTCGGCAAACATCTACACTGTTAACTCTTCAGCTAGTCACCCAAGACCTATCACGCAAAATTTACCTTACAGTATGTCATCGGTGAATACTCATTGTGGGATTACTCCTGAAACTAATCGTCTTGTACCAAGTTCACAGTTTATAAACCATGCTACATCTACTGGTGTTATGGGTATGTCAATTTGATACCTTTAAATATTTACATTCTAACATTAACATGAGTGTACTTTGGGAATTGTATTTAGCTGCCATCATACTTGAAATCAACGTTTAAATATTTTAATAGTTGGTATTTACTTTAATTAACTTATATCAGTTTTCTAACCATGCAGATTCACTTAATTCCCCAGTGACTAGTCACTTCACATCCTCCGTAACGCGTTTTCGTATACTTGTATTTTCTATCATCAGAAGCAGTATCCAACAGCTTGGTTTGTTCCTTTTGACATGTCAGTGGGCGTTCAAATTTTTTTTCATGTAATGGTTTGACTACAGTATATATCCAGTGTAACACATTTCTCAAATGCGCACTAATGAAGTGGTGCGATATTTTGACCTAGAGTCGCAATTAATAACACACACCTCTGACCTAGCTGCTTGAAATATGTATTATGCATGCCGATTAACCATCTACCCTGGCGCGCTGTTAACTGAGGGACCTTTAGATCAGATCTGTAAGATAACCAAAATTGTGTTGGCTTACACATCTAAATGATGTAGCTCAGAATCACTCGCGTTCTTCATCTTGAACACTGTGTAGCACCTAATTATTCGCTCTGTACTGATTTCTTAACACTTTATAGCCCACAATTCATGATTGTATTAGCATCTTTGCTTCGCATTTCAGTGTGTTTGTGTGAGGTGTGGCACGATGTCAAACCCTAGTCGTCCGAAGTTGTTTAGGATCCTTCGTATGGTGAAGTTTTACTTACAATCTCTGCCTCCTTGCAATAGTATTTTATTCACCAAATAGTATGAAGACTATCTCTAGTTACTGCACTTAAACTGTGAAGAAAAGACCTACGATGTAACTGGCGTTTTAAAAACAAGTTAAATTCAGAATGTTTTAGAAAACTACTTCTGTGACATGACCCGGTTTTAATAAACCTATAGAGAAAACACATTAAAATTAATTAACAAAGCAATAAACAGTTTCTCATTTTATTTACTTTTGTCTTTCCTAATTTTCGTTTTAGATTCGTTTTATTCTACACATCCACTCCAGAATCGTTTGACAGTACCCATAACCAACAGTGTTGCCGATTCTGTAAGATCAGCAACCGATGTCGACAGTGAATTGCAACAGGCTCAACGGCAAGCGCGAACGCAAGAATTTAGGAATGCGGTTGAAAGAGCTCAACAAGCACGAGCACGACAGAGGCTTTCTGAAAGTTGTTCAGCCGACAGTGACAGTATGTTATCCAAGTCTGCTCTAGGTTTATTGTCAACTATGCCAGAAAACCGACCTATCTCTTCTGTTCCTTCTCCTTTTGTTACGACAGCCTGTCAAGCCGGTCCTAATTATTTGTTCTCCATGAGTGACCCCTCCGTCAGTTCTGTGCTTAACGTCCCTGCACATGGTCTACTTCCACAAGCGTTCCCAACATCGGGACCGCTTGATATAACTACTGCAATCGCTGCAGCTACTGCCGCTGCCATGGCATACACAGGTGGTTCGGATGGTGGCGTTCCTGTAAGAAGTGGAATGGAAATCCCCATCAGTGTGCCCACGATAATTCCTCATACACAAGTTCCGATTTCTGTAAGTTCGAATACTGCCGCTGCAGGGTCATGGCAAGCTGCATTTGCATCGGGCAATTCGATGCCAGCCGCTTTGGTCCGACTACTGTCCCAGCAACCTCATATGGCACAGCTGTTACAGAATGCATTGAATATGTCTGTAGGTAGCTCTGCTCAAGGTGTGTTTGTAAATCCCGAATTTTTGTGGAACGTTTCCTTGAAATTTTCAATCAGCCACAAATTAATCGGTCACCGGGACCACCAGTTAGTTCATCTAAAAGTACGTCGTTCTCAGAAACAAATATTCAACCTCCTATGTCAAATCTGCAACAAGAGCAGTCTCCTGTTAATGCTGCGGATTCTGGTATACGAAGTAATCTGAAATCTACTACTCAAGCATTTAGTAATCTTGATGATTCCGCCTCACAGAACATGGAATTCGATGGATCGAGCGAAAAAGCTCATCGTGTTCACAAGGTGTCTCAGTTATCCATTCGACCAGATGCTCCAACAGTTGCTACCAGTGCTACTGTGACATGTAGTGGTTCTTCCGCCCAGCGAACTTCTCGTGTTCCTGGTTTGATGGATATCAAGGTGTACTGTGCATCATCTCAACACTTAGCTCATCTTTGGGACAAGGAAGACAACTTACTGGATACGGGAAATCGTGCATTTCGTGGGCGTGGGAGGAACTTGACGTCTCACAAACTTCAGCGAAGTGGCACTCGAGGACATGGAACCGCCAGAAGCCATCTTCTGGACTCAGTGACTAGTGATTTTAGTGAGTTATTTTCTAAATCTCGTGAATTTCTTAGATTTGCTTTTTTCCTTTGTGCTATTTAGAAATACATGGTATCGCAGTTTATATGTATTGCAGGAGTGCAAACCTTTAAGCATGACATCTTTAGCCACATACATAAGTTGAAAAATGAAAGTAGTTAGCAGCAGCCTGTAGTAAAACTTATCAATTTTCACACTGCCGTTTTTTCCAAGAAAGTTTTACTATCCATTCTTCAAATAAATGTGAGGGATGAGTCGAATGTGGAGTGCCTAGACTCGTAACGCCACTTTGTAACTGGACTAAAAAGGTGGAAAAACTCGGAAGCTAAAGACAGCTGTGAACAATAAAACGTTTGGCTTGAAGATCTCGGCGACCTTACCCCTAACAGTCATTCAATGTCGACATGAAACCTGGCAGTACTACGTAACATTTCAAGCTGACACTTCAAATCAGCACATGAAATAGGAACGTTCAGTAATTTGATGACCAGATAATTGTCAGGTAACATACAACAAACACTTGTGCTCTCCATTCTTATTGTTTTTCTGCTGATAATGACTTTTGGTGAATTGGTCTGATGTCGTCACAGTATTTTTTTAAAAATGTATGAAATTTACTTAGTGAACCTGTAGCATACGTTTTAAGCAGTTAGCTTTCAATCAGTGTTTGAACCCCTTCTCATCTGTAGTTTATGCAACCGAGTAGTATTGCAATCATTAAATGGTAGACGCGATTAGCACATTCATCTCCGTGTGGTAAGTGAATTACATGTATGTAGGTGGACAATGAAATATTCTAATTACCCACGACTTTTTGAGTACTCCTACAAAGTATAGTGGTTCTTGTTTCAGTCTGATAGTATAAATCTTAATGCCTACCCCTGTAGGATATGTACTTCTTGCTGTATATTTAGTGCATTCTAGTTAAACATTTCTATTCTCACTTTATTTTAGAATCTATGAACCTTCGCGATACGGATGATCGTCAATATCCTTTGGAAGACTTTGATGTGTCGTATCGTGCACAGAGTATGTCGAAGTCATCAAAACCGTGGAGTTCAAAGCCATCACATAGTGTCGACGATACAGCTTTGGATTCCTATAATGCAAGTGCCCGAACCAAATCAGGGTTTGCTTGTGATGATCACATAGGGAACAGAAAACAAACTCGAAATATACCTGACGATAATTTCTGGATCCGTTCTGATTTAGATATTAATTCACCGTTTATATCATCTAGTGAAGATGATATTGATGAATGTGGTGTCCTAAGTGATGTTCAGGAGGCTGAAGCTACCGAGGAGGATAAAGGATATGAACAGTCTATTAATGATCTCAGGAAAAAAGTTGACCCACGTTTAAGTAAGTTCTCACAGCCTAACCAAACGGCAGTTGCGGATAACCAGGACAGGAACAGGAATTCCAGTACTTACAACAGACGGGGTCGACGTGGTCGTGTTGCAACGGGCAGTCATTTTACTAGTTCAAGGTAAGCTAAATGAACTATAGTTTTGACTTTTCGTCACGAAGCCAAACTTGCTGGGTTTATCTGATGAGGCCTACACTCATTCACAATATCAAACACATAAGACAGAAAAAGGAATAAAGTGTATGAAAATATGCTTTGTTGTGCTTCAGACTCTTCTGCTACTTGTGTTGTCTTCATGCTATTATTATTTTAACTCCTGTGAAACAGGTTTACGTTCATGTTTTAAGTAAGTTTATTCTGATAAATAACGAAATTCGTGATCATCTTCAGCCTCTTACAGACTTAGACCTACTTCAGTTGACGTAGCGTGCCGACATGAACCATGGTTTGGTGCGCATTTTTCATACCCCAATCACGGAGAAATTTTCATGACCTAAGCTAAGGAACCACGTCTTCAGTTTTTAACAACGAACACTGAAGCTTTGCGACGTAGCTTGTAATTTCCCGTCCTTAATCTGACCGAAGTAGTCGGCAGCTTTTGGGATTTCGTACAGTCGCGGAGATGGGAAGGCAAATTTCGAACCTCAAAAATCCATCGGTTTGAGTTGCTATACTTTATAGCAGCATGTAAAGAAAGAGCGAATAGGACAGGAATGATAATAAAGTAAGCGAAAGCATATGAGAAGAGCGAGGATGAATAGATGATAAAGATGTTCGAAAATGATGAAGACTGGATACATCCATACCACTGCGATTTCTCTCCAACCATTGGTCCCTATATGCTTGAAGACTAGCTATGTTGTCAAAGGCTTCATTAACTAGCGCTTCATTTTGCTCTGCCTACACTGAACCTTTTAACTCAATCCTACTTCAGCTAACGTTTCATATCTATGTAGACAATGGCTCGGCATTCGCATCATGTTCAAGTCACCTCAATCAGTGAAGTCGCAAAACTGTTATTGCACGGTTAAGCCCTCAAACAATAAAGTTAGCTCATAATCCAGTTCACAAACACAAGTGCTAGGCTGAGTTGCTCCATTATCAACTACAGTCTGTATCCTATCAACAATATCTAAATATTCTCATTGAGTCAGAAGAGTAAAAAGACCTGAGCGAACAAATTTGCTTTTGGCGATATCATCCTTTGCAGCTGTACAGTCTCATAGAAATAAAGTTTATGTGCATAAAAATGTCAGTATTTGTTGGTCAGTGATTGATTTCTAAGTTAGAAAAATCAGTGAAAACCTGAGAGCACTAGATATATTTTGTCTTGTCTCCTTAGTAGTGCACGCCAGACCCCGCTAGGGCTTGGGTACAGGACCACGCCTCGCAGCGGGCACGCTACTGTTCAGTGGCTCATGTATAGCGTGACCGTCATCTGATGTCACCGAATAGTATTTGTACTTATGTCCTACTTGGTTTTGCCCCACAAGTAGAGATCTCATTAAAACTGCGAGAAATTTGATCTTAAATCATGTCGCCGATGAACACTAGATAGTGTACTACTAAAAGCGTGTGGTCGGTTGACATTTTCTAGCCGCCTACATCGTAGAAAGCCATTTCTTCTTGGGATACCTGGAAAGGAAAAAGATTTGTGTGACCTCAGAGCCCATGAGACATGCTTAAAGCGGATCACACAGCCTTTTATACGTTGTTATTTCTAGGTTTGGTTGTTTTAACTTCGGGCAGTGAGAACCCATACCGCCGGCACTGCGAGGCTATGGGGGATGGCGGAGTGTGTTATTTTCGGTGCCGGCCTTTTCTAACCCCCCTTCCATCGAGAAGGCAGCATCGGCGTGGCACTGGGTCATCCAAGGAAACACCTTACTGCTACCACACCTCATCCGGCTAGGAACAGTGACTTCGTCATCAGACCCCTCACCATAGTGCAGTAATTTACACTACAGTGGTAGCTGCTTTTCGCCTAACCACTGTCCAACAGACCTTTCTGGCACGGTAGAACCTCGAGGGAACAAGCGTTCCACCAGCATAGCTCATTGAATCATTGTTAAATGCAAGCCCGACCACTAAGTCAAGGTAGCAGATAACAGTCGGAATGGTAATTCACTTTTGAAGTTTGAGGATACTGTTATTTCGAGGTAATATTCATTAGTGGTAACATGCTCACCGCAGGACCGAAAGGTCCTGGGTTTGATCCTTGACGGGGTCATGGCTGCGCACTACTGAAGGGTCCCATACTATGACAAAACAGCCGTCCAGTGTCCTCAAGTTTTCAATGCTCCAACTGGTGTCGTTCTGTGATGAATACTGGCACCTGAAAATCAATAAAATCCTCTCAAACTGAGTAGATCATTAATTTTAGTAGTTTGGAGGTTACGTAGAAAATGTGAATATTAACAGCGTGAATAAATGTCAGTTATACTTGAGAAGTAACGGATTCGTAACAGAGTGAGTAGATGGTTGTAAGTGAGCGAATCAATGGTTTGTTCGTAACTGAGCCAAATAAAAATGGCATAGTTATTTCTAATATAGAATCACAGTTTCGTTTGTTGTATCACGAGTGCTTCATCAATACAAAGTTAACATTTTCTCATTGTCTAAATAAAACTGACGTCACAGCGGATGATATCATTGAAAACAAATCAGTTCGTTACGTCTAGGATTTCTATTACGGTATGTATATATAAAGTGCTTACTTCGTGAACCATCAAATTAATCATTGTTGAAATAGTAATTTTAAATGCGGAATTCCTATCGTTTATTTGTGTTGGACAAAAACTGTAGGAGCTATACCACCGATGACTTTTCTTCATATTCGAAACGTTATTCAAAAGGTTCTGAGCATGATTACTATTGGCGTCAACAGTACGTTTCGTCATCGAGAGGGTTTCGTGCAGGTCAATCTACTGGTTCGAATACTGACCAGCATAAAATCGCAGCAACGATGATATTGTTTACAAACCATCTGAACGCTGTAGGTTTTTTCGAATGTGATAACTATATAACATTATTTTCTGTGTATATTGTTTATCAAAAATATTTTCATCATAGTTATGTTATAATTGAGGACAACTCTGATTAATTTATAATTACAGTGTGTAAAGTGTAAACTGTTTGGTTTCATTTTTTGTCATCTTGTTTGCTGTACAGTTGATGTATCCGTTTAGATGTTACATGTGTTGAATACTGCAACCAGCTATGTAATATTGGAGCACTGGTAATTGTCTGACAAAATCAACTTAGAACCTCCAACCAGACTAAGGAATGTTGTTACAAATATCCCTGATTTGTAAGGAACAACTAGCTAGCTAGCGGGAAAATTATTTTTGTCTTCGTCTTCATTCTGCTGAGTTGTCAGTAACGACTAACTTCCCTCAGTGAAAGATTAGAAAAGGTTAGTGGATCTCAACTGATTCATACGAGTAAATGTATCCGTGCTAACGAATCTCTGTGATCTGTCAGCACAATTACGGAGGAAGCTTTTAAATGTAGGCGAATATAAAATCTACGCCATGACTAAGCAGTAAAGGTCTAGGATATAACGAAAACATCAGCAAAAAGCAGTTGTAGACAATCATTTAGACTGTTAACTCTCATAAGTTGAAAATATTGTCATTGACGTTCAATAAGAAAAAATGACACACCTTGATAGGATCCCAATAGAGAGGACAGTCTAAGTTCATTGTATAAACTGGGTGAAGCGTTAGGTAGGTCATAGTAAACGGATATAAAACCCTCTTTCTGATTGCAATAAGTGATTATCTTGGTTTCTAAGGAATTAGAAAATTCCTGTTTATAACCACTTTCCATCGTGTCTTAGCACACAAACAACGCTATTTCCTTGACTTCAATCCTGTAATATATGAGCCTTTTGTAATCAAGTTTGTATTAAGGCGTCTATCAATATACATTGTTTAGTTGTGCACTTTAAACGAATCTCGATTGGGACTGTGGTTAAGTGTGAAGTGGTTTATTTCCAGTTTTTGCGTACTCTGTTTCTTAGTGACAAAATACTCTATGATTCGTACTTTATTTGTCTTTGACTTGATTGAATAGCAAGCAGAAGTGCTACGTCAGGAAGCTTCACCGGAAATTCATCTGGATATTTAAACGGTCGGATGACACGTTCGTATGGCCAATATGAGTCATCCCATGATCATGGCATGAAAAGTTTGGATAATTCCACTATATCCCGAATTCTCCAAATGGTCGTCAAATCAGGTCTCAAAAAATTTACTACGGCCACAAGGGACAGTTCTCGAGTGCCACTGAATTTTCTCACCATGAATATGTTAGTGACGAAGAAGAAAATAAGCCACATGTTCGAACAAACAATCATTCGGAAGCGAGAGCTCGAAGTTATGCTACCAGTGGACGTTTCCATAAATCTTACCGAAGAAATACAACGAAGTCATCCGAGTTAAACAACCAATCTAATACGGAAGGAGAGCAGGTAAGGTTTATGTTTTACATGCTTCAAAATGTCTCTGAAAGAATACTCGCATATATTTCATGATTTGGGCCTTTAATAGCACCTGCTTTAGTGTTAGCGTATTCGTTCCCATTGCGAAAGTAGTAAGCAACTATTTGTATGTTAATTAAAAAGCACATGTCATCACAAGTTTCATTCATTAATCTAAAAATATGTTAACTGTTCCATACTTCTCCCGGAACTTACGACCGAGTAGTGTTCAGAAATAAAGATGATGCTTGATATTATATCTCTTTATGACCTTCCATATTCACCACTTCTGTATTGTTTTTGTTGGTTATTATTATTATTATTACTACTCTACTGCTACTACGACTGTTATTATTTATTATAATTATTTAGTTCCTATGATGCATACATCCAAAGCAGATGTACCAAGACTAAGTTTCAAATTCTGGGTAGATGAATGTCATACTATCACACTCTTAGTATTATAGACTTTTCGTGGTGGTTTTAGCCTCCAAATTATCCATTTTAAGTAA